AGGTATACAATCCAACATTTTTCAGTCAGGTCATCTGGACAGTTTCTGAATGATTTATGATTGTTATTATTTGCTATTAGTATTATGAAATCATGTGACATGTTAAAATATGTTTTAATATATTTTGTTAGCTTTATTCTCAGAAAAGAATCCATTTGAAGTGACACGACAACTGTGTGTAAAGTTCTTGAGCAGAACAAGCTTTGTTCACGGGACAGGACTCTGAACAGCGTCAGAGAATTCAAAAACATTTTCCTGGAGCTGATCGGTCACAAAACACTGAGGCTTTGTGGGACAGTTCTGTGTTCGGTCCTCTCCCCATCCTGATGTATTTTGTCTTGTTCTACGTATCGCATGTGGGCAAACAAAAAAGATAAACGAGTTTTGCTCAGAAATATTTTTTCTTAAAGCCAAGACAAATAGTTAACTACAGAAAGGTCATGACTTGGAGATAAGACAGCAGGTTGCTGATCAGCCCTGCCTTCCCACCCCGAGGCAGTCACAGTGACTCACGACACCCTGGCCTGTCCTCTCCTTGTGCCACATCTGGATCCAGTCAGCCAGCAGCCGCCTCAGAAACAGAATGACTTCTCGCCCACAGCGCCGACCTGGTAAGACGTTGAGACCTGGTGGCATCAATGCAATTTTTGTTCTCATACTTGATCATTTCCTTGCTTGATGTGCCAATAAATTAATTTGGTCAAATTCAATCAATCAACCTTTATTTAGACAGGTAAATCCCATTGAGCCTCGAGGACTCATTTACAAGAGAGACCTGATTTCAACAAAGAAAGATGACAACAATGGACAACAGCAACAACAATAAACAGTTATAAAAAGTCATACTGCAGGTTTGTTTGTTTTTTTTTGTTTTTTTTTAACAAATAGGATGGCTAAAAGGAAAAGGTAACAAAACAAACAAAAAAAAACAGCTAGATTCCAAGACAAATGTAGAAAACTAAAAACAGGAACATGTCAGCATTGGACCCTGCCAGCTGTCCAACAGATTCTTAAAGACACTTAGAGAGGTCAAGGCCAAGAGATTCAAATCTTTTTATTCCAGGAAACAGGAGCGGAATAGGAGAAGGCCCTTTTGTCTAGTTCAGTCCTCATTGAGGGAACACTGCAGGTAATAATGTCCTGAGAGCGCACGCTGTAGCTGCACTCATGCAGAGACATGTAGGAGGAGATGTATGAAGGCAGCAGACCAAGAAGTGATTTAAAGATGAAAATGTACCAGTGAGAGAGTCTGCGTGAAGTTAATGATGTCCAGTTAACCAGTGAATACAGAGTGCAATGGTGGGTACGATAATCACAGCCAGTTATGAATCTTAGTGCACCATGATAGACAGCATCCAACATCTGCAGGGTTCGTGTAGGAACGTTCATGTAAATAATGTCACCATAATCAATTGAGGGAAGGAAAGTCACAGATACAAGGCGTTTTCTAGCATTCAGGGTTAGACAGGATCTGTTTCTGAAAAAGAAACCCAGTTTACTTTCAGTTTCTTTACCAAGTTTTCCACATGAAAGAGAGATGTGAGTCGACCAAGATACCCAAATATTTATAGGAATCAACAAACTCAATGGGGACACCATTTGAGGATAAAATCGGAGGAAGAACTGCTGCGACCAACTTCCTATTTGAAAAAAGCATCCCTTTGGTTTTGTCGGCATTTAGGACAAGTTTGAGGTGGAACAAATCAGTCTGGATGATGTTGAATGCAGATTTCAAAAGCTGAAAAGCCTTAGCAACAGTTTTAGCTCGACAATAAACAACTGTGTCATCAGCATAGAAATGTATGGATGCATTAGGGATGTTTTTACCTACATTATGTATGTAGATTGTGAAGAGGGTGGGTCCTAAGACTGAGCCTTGTGGTATACCATTGTTGACTGTTAAATAACTGGAGGAAGTACCATTATGTTGAACACATTGCCTCCGGTCTGAAAGATAGTTAGAGAACCAACCAATGGTGTGTTCTGAGAAACCGATTTCTGAGAGTTTATGACACAATAACATCTCTCATCCAAATTCCAAAAGCAAACTATCTAATAGTTACACTTTATCTTGTGTGTATAAAAACCAAAATAAATTCTGTCCAAAAAATTATTATTTGTTTTAGATGAAAGAAAATTAACCATTATTACTTATCTTAGAGTGTTACATCATTAAGTACAAGTATTAACTAAACAAATACTTCTTCAAAATTAGTTATTTTCCAAATTCTTATTCTTTGTTACTTTGTTGTTGTTGTTTTTGTTGACGATTCAGTTTTTATTTAGTTATTTTTGTAATAAAATTTCAAAGAAAAATTTGGTCTTCTCCTCATGTAGGTAGATATTTGTTATAATATAGAGTTCCCTGTAATTAACAAATTCTACTTAGTGATTGAGTTCTTATTAGAAACGGGTGAATAAATTAAATAAGCTGTTACTGGTCAGTAAACCCCTCAGTTTAGAAAAAGCATATAAATGTAGAAAGGTTAGGAGAAAGCATCGCTCTTTTGCCTCCTCACATCTTCAACAATGTTGTGCAACTTCTACCTAAAACACACTATTCCAGATTGAGCCAAATATTTTCATGAACTTTTTGTTTTTCAGAAGACAAATAACAAATTGTGACATAAACTAAATAATAATGGGTGAACAGAAACAGGTGTGTTTAATGCTTACACATTGACATTTTAATTAAAGATAAAATTTGTTACGTAAAGTCTAAATTGTTAAGAAACACATTTAATTAGAAAAGTACTAGAATTAGAAATACACTATCATTTGAAAAGCAGAATGTTATTTAAATATAAATCCAACAAAGTTAAGTCAGGTCCTCTGGACGGTTTGTGTTGAAACGTTTCTTCTTTCATCCAAAGGACTTCATCAGTCTGAGGAGCCACAACAAACTTAGTCCCACAAGCAGCACACTCCCATAGTGGACCAACCAGTTTGATGGTGATAAGATGGTTTCTGGAGTCCACCCTCTCCCCCGTCGACTCCTCTGAGGCAGCCATGGCCTCTGAGTTTGGTGTGGCTCCTCGCACTGATGAAGTCCTTTGGATGAAACACGAAACGTTTCAACAAAAAAAAGAAACCATCCAGAGGACCTGACTTAACTTTGTTTGATTTTTTTACCTGGATTATTAAGCATGAAATTTGAATTTATTAAATATTTATGTTTTTTTTTTTTTTTCTATTTTTGCTGTTGACAACATTACTCTGAAACAAAAAGAAATAAATCCAACAAAATAAATTTACATACAGCAGCATTATAAGCAGAGTGGCACCTCTTAGTTCTCCCCATATCTTTACACACTGATGCCCAAACTGGACAGGACTGGGGGCTGTGGGGGGTTAGGTGTTGATATGCTGGTAGCACTGGGCGTGCCTTATGAGTACATGAAAACTGTAATATGATCTGAGCTCAATGACAAACTTTTTTTCCTACTGAGGTTTGACAGATATAAGAGCTAAGAGCTGTGGACACCAGTGGACTTAAACCTACCTCTAGGATCCCACAGAGCCACTAAACCACCACAGATCCAGGGTAGGAATGGGACTGCTCAGTGTGGAAGAGCTGGTAAGCTGGGATCATTAACTGGTACCAATAATGATTATTAAGGAGGGGAGTGAGCCAAATGGAAAATTTGAATACATGATTGAGATTTTTTTATGTACTTTAGAACTTTAAAATTAACCAGAAAAATGTTTGTTTGTTTGTTTGTTTGGTCTTTTATCTTATTGCAATGTTTTTAAACTAACAAGGGGGATTATTGTATCAAATAGATATCTTGATATTGAAAAATAAGGTATTAACAGAGATTGTAGTTGTGTATATTGTGTAGGATTATATACTAGATCCAAAAACCAGTAGATAAAATAAGGCAAAGGAACTCAATCATTCCAGATGGGTTGGTTTCAATGGTTTTATTGCATATTTAGGAGTCTTGATGTCTATGTATTATTACGTGTTCTTCTTTTTATGACAATTTTTGCTTTGCTACTTCCCTACACCTTTGGGAAACCTATCAGACAATTTAATCTGTGTATTATATGGTGTAAAAGAAGGCCACAAAAAACTGAAAAGGACCACGTAGGCGACAGCAGGATTTTGGTGAACTGAGCTAGAATATTCTGCAGTTTGAGCTCGGTCATGCTTCACAGCAGAAACATCTTTCAAACTTTAAATGGGTCACAGAAAGTTAGACTTTATAACTGAAGTGGCATTTGGATGTGCTGAATGGTTTTTACACAATCATGGTTTAAGTTGCATCATTTTTTAGATTTTGCCACTAAATTTTAGTGTGATGATGTCACTCAGCATTATCTGAGCTGCTACAAGTTACCAGAGTTTTTGCAAACTCTTTTTACTCACACAATTCTTGTACTTCTTATACAATTTTTTTTACATCCAAAACTGTGCAGTATTTTTTCACCCAGTCTGCCTTTCACTGCCATAGGAATGATGGTTTTCTTGGAAATCCCAAAGAGTGCAGAGTGTGTGCACCCAGACTCCTACATGCTTCCATCTTATCAGAGTTTTGTCTTCAAAGCAGGAAGTGAATAGTCTTTTTTAACTTGGCACATCTTCTACATAAGTTACATGAAAATCTATGAGCCAAAAGCTTTCTTCTACTCATGGTTCAAGAATATATTTGATAAAACTTATAGTTTTTGTACAGTGGCTTACAGTTTAGCCTATCTTTGCCCCTGCATAGAGAATTGCTGTCTCTTTTCATTCTGCTGCTGAAAAGGATCATGTCAAACAGGTTCAGCTGATGCTACCTTACTGACTTTTGTATTATCCAGCAGGATTTTCTTACACACACACACACACACACATATATATATATATATATATATATATATATATATATATATACACATTGTATATATATTTATTTTTGCTGTCCTAATAGATTTAGCATCATTTCAGAGTTCATGTAATCTCAATTTAGACTTTTTCAGAGGGTTGTCAGACTTTAGGATTGAAAGTAAAAACAGTAAAAAAAATAATAATATAAAAGAGCAAACAAGAAGAGGTTTCAAAATTAAAAGCATAAATACGCTTCAAAAAAGGAGTCTGGCTCTGTCAAAGCTTAGCTCATGCATATTCCTTATGTTGGACATGGCCTTTTCAAACATTTCAACGGCCCCACAAAGTAGTCAGGATCCCAGACAGACTGCGCTGAACTGTATGATAAAAACTGTACACAGCACAGCTACTTCCATGAACATCACATGAAGCCGGTAGAGTTTTGCAGCTGTCAAGCAGACAACTTTTAGTAAACCATGAAAACGATGGGTGGGGTGGGCCGACATGCAGCCCTGCAAGCAGCTGTCAGACGTACCCACCCATCCCATTGTTTACACCAGTAAGGCAACAGTGTGAACAGAAGTCTGATTTCATGACAAGGGTCATCAGGTCAATACCAAAAAGATGGAAAATGCATAGCACCTGGTGTCCCACACCAGGGTTGTGGGTTAAGATCATTTTATACTAAGAAAGGAAAGATTTGTCTATTGGTCAAATCTTGAAAAAATCATTACCATTTGATGCAATATCACGTGATGATTAAAGTTTGTGTTGAGGGACACTCAGCTACTACTGCTGGACAAAAATATCCTCTGTTTTGATGATGATGTCACTCTGATTGATGGGTTGTTGGTTCCTTCACCTTCTTTGAGACGGAGCACGCTGCATGTGTGAAATTCTCCTTCGTAGTCAGGTTTCAACCTGTGAGTCAGTGAGTCAATGAGCTAATAATTCCTCTTGCATCCAGAGGAAGGGAGATGTATCCAGGTGGGTGTGGTCAGCGACACCTGGAATGGTCCGTCCCACCTTGGAGATGTTTACACCTGATGATTTACCAAGACTCTTGCAAATCTGTTGCTGTGCTGCATCCTGCTGGAATTAAAAGATGTGGTGGGAGTTTGTTCAATGACTGAGATTTATTCAGAGACCTCTTCCCTCGAGGTCATGTGACCTCACTGTGGCAGCTAGAGGCTAAGAGATCTGTCAGGCTTTTTCAATGAGAAAAATGGTGTCTTTGTTTGCAAATTACGTCACCGTGGTAACTCGTAATGCAAATAAAAGTAACGACACGCATCACGGTAACGAGCCGGTCATTTTGATATAACATTTGTGGGGGTACACATTGTGGTTTGGGCCACATTAAAGTTGATAGAAGAGCATGACCCTTTTCAGGTGAATAATAATGGACGGCCCTTTCTAGGCAGTCTCTATTGCGTTTTGACTGTTTGACTCCAAAAGTTGATGCGCATCCGTTGATTCTATTCTGCAAGTTTAATGAAAGCTCGTTTGTTAGAGCATAAGACATTTTGGTAACAAGTGCACAGAAACAAACTAAATATTACTGCTGCTCCTTGGCGAGGGGTGTTAGGGATGAGAGCAGCAGAACATCAGTCGCACTCTGGATACACATTTTCTTAGTCAAATCAGCTCAATTCTAATTCAGGTATTGAGTATTTCAGACAGAGTACCTGTGCCTAAATAACTCTGCCCCCTTCCTCCAGGTGACTGGTAAGAGGTCAGAAGGAAAGGATGCTGGTGACTTCCATGGAGGTGTGTACGAGGCAGCTGTCAATCAGGAGAAGCAGGATAACCACAGGTCGCAGCAGGACTTGAAGGTGGGGGAAGATGCCTCGGAAGAAGGGAACAACGGCAGCAAGCTGGAGATCAATGTGGTGGCTTTAAATGTGAGTCCAACTGCTAAGAGAGTTTGACACTGCAGTGTTGCACAAGCACACTTATTCTGTGTTTATAGTATTTAATTTGGGCTTTCAAAGGAGGAACCATTTCTAAAGGTCAAATTAGCTGTAAAAGGTCAGGAAATCTGTATTACATCTTCGATTTTTATTAAACTACAAGTCAGAAAGAATGAGCATTCCTTAAATGCACAATACATTGCCAGGTCCGGAGTGGCTGATCGGGAGGACCGGGACATTTCCCGGTGGGCCAGTTTGATATACGGGCCACGGGGCCAGTGCTCAGTCGTGGTCATGCGTTTATCACCGTATGTATGTCTGTGTTTATCACCATTTATCTTAACCCGCTTCCTCCTTTTTGGAACGCTGGGGTCGCTGGTGTCCATATCCAACCATCACTGAGCGAAGGGTGGGGGACACTCTGCACAGGTCTCCAGTCCATCACAGGGACACATAAAGACAAACAACCATTCACTCTCACTCAGACATAGAGACAATTTAGAGTTACCAATCAGCCTAACATGCATGTTTTTGGTCGGTGGGAGGAAACTGGAGTACCTGGAGAAAACACACACATGCGTAGAGAGAACCATACCATACCATTTTATTTATAGAGGACTTAAAACAGCGACAAGGCCAAACAAAGTGCTGTACAGACAGAGAACATGCAAACTCCACCCAGAAAGGCCCCGGGACAGAATTTGATCCGGAGACCTTCTCACTGAGGGGTGGCAGCTCTACCAACTGCGCCACTGTGCCGCCTAACATTTGTTTCTTTAGTTTAATTTGCAGTTCCACTTTGTGTGCTGCCACCTAGTGGTATTTAGGAGTATAACATGTTTTAGTCATCTTGTTTCTGCACTCAAAACTTAATTTATTAAATGTTAGAATGAAAGACTGTCTAAATCTTAACATAGTTCAATATTTTTGGAGCTAAAAAACAATCAAACAATCACTAATATCAGAGTTCTGCTTTCTCTGATGATATAATTCAGCCACAGTGAGATACAAAATCCGTCTTCCGTAAACTTATTAATTGTTGAACCCTGTACTAGCTATGATTTTTGCAGATTTTGTGCATGTAAATGCCGCTGTGACAGGTCTTGTAGATTTTTTCTTCTGTTTTGTTCTAGACTTCTTCTACATTTAGGTCAGAGAAGGTTATTTTCTAATATTTTCAAATTAGAATCTATTCGGAGGTGACAGCCATCTTGGAATTATTATTAAGCATGAAAGGTTAAAGGTCACCTAAAATAAAAAAGAGTTTAGGATTTGCTGAGTTTTTGCCCTGAATGTTTGTTTTCTCCAACCGCAGACGGATAAAAATGGGAGGCTGAAGTTGGAGACGGTTGATGACTTGTTCAACATCCTGCAACTGAGGAAGAAGAGGAAGGAGAGGAAGGCTCCTGATCACAAGAAAAAACAGCCAGAGGCAGAGACCATGGTGAGATGTGGTTGATATGTAAGACTGGGTGAAAATATATAAGCAGACATTTTATTATTAATACATACTGTAGACCCGAAAGTCACAGATTCAATCCCGTCATTGCACTTCTCATGGTGTCATGAGACATTATTGTTGTTATTATTATTATTGTTATATGTGGTAAAAAAAAAAATTGGGGGGTGGGGGGTGGGGTGCTGTGTAGACTATGGGTCTGTTGGATGACTGGGTCCAAAGAAGCATCAAACAGCAACATATTTTTCTGAATCAGCTTTCTCTACAGAATGAAAGTATCTGAAAATAAATAAATAAATAAATAAATAAATAAATAAATAAATAAATAAATAAAAGTATTCATATTTATATTGCAGCTTTATGCAGCAGTAAAAGTGTATTGTTTTAAGAAAGCACAATAGTGTATAAGCATGAACAGATCAGATTATTTAAAATTTAGTAGATAATGGCCAATTATGTCCAGATTTTCTTTTTGCTAGATTTAAAAAAACATATAAACAATGCATCAAAATGTGTAGCTCCATTACAAACAGTGTGCTATGAGTTGTGTAAAATTCACAAAATATATAAAATATTTCATCAATGGGATTTTGGTGAAATACGTGAGAAAACCCAGTCCTTAATAGAGTAGCTACTACTACTGAGTCATCCCTCACAGTAAAACATCATTAAAAGTTTAAACCTGTCACAGAAAGACTGAACAGATATTTTGATATATTTAATATTCTTTTATACAATAACTATTTAGGTTTTGTGATTTAAGGGATTTCATGGTCTCCTCTGAAATACATTGTACAACGTAAAAACTTTGATCACCTGCCATTGTATTTGAGCTCTGGGTTTTCTCTTTAAAACTGGAAGTAAATGATCTTGCAGAAGCGAGGTAGTCCTGCTGTTTGAATAATAAACATGTTCAAAAAAACTAATGCTACAGTTTTGTTCCCAACATAGTCACAGAGTCAAAGTGGGTGTCTCTAAGTCATTCCAAGAGTAGAGCTGTATTTTACTCTTGAGCTCTTCTCTTACACAAAAATAAGCCATGATGAGTACGGGAGACGTGGACACCAAAATAATGAAAACGCCAAGAATGCAGTTTTATAAACTGTGCACACAAAAATAGTCTGATGTTTTTAAACTGGCTGCTTAAAAGCACAACAGCCACAAACACTCAGAATTTAATGAGTGAAACTTTACTTATTTTACTGCAATTCTGAATCAACAATTTGTCTCCGATGGCCACAGACTGTGATACTACTTTTCAAAGTCAAAGTCAGTTTCTTTATTGTCATACGCACCACATGTGATACATGTAGTGGAACCAAATGGTGTACACAGGGTCCAAGTTACATCCAACAAAGTATAAAATGTAAAAGAACAACAGTAATAAGATCTAAGACATGAACTAAGAAAAACATTAGACTAAAAATGTGCTAAGCACTAATAGTACACAAACAACACACCAAACAGCAGCACGAACATGAGTCTGTGTGAGCAGATGAGTACGAATGAACACAGCAACATGAAACAGATCAGCAGCAATATGAAACGGATCAGCAGCAACATGATGTGATTTTTCACAGTGATTATTCTGGTTGGAGCAGTCGTCCTCCAGTGGGAGAGTTGGGGCTTCGATTCCACCAACAGTCACATGCTGAAGTGTCCCTGGACAAGACACTAAACCCCTCATTGCCTCTGATGTGTGTCCCATCGGTGTATGAATGTGATCTATAGCACTAATTATCTAGTAGAGTGCTGTATGAATGGGTAAATGAGGGCATAAATTGTAGTGTAAAGCACTTTAAGTAGCTTGATATGATAGAAAGACTATATAAGTACAGTCCATTTACCATTGAGTCAGAGAGATTGTAGTGAACCTGATGACCTGATGATCTGACCCTCATCTGACCCTGATGACCTCAAATCTACCAGATGGACAGAGACTGTTATTTTCATTGATCTGAATAAGTCTGAGCCATCTGATGACTTTCTTTCTTGAATTAATCAAGCAGAAAAGACAATCCTCTATAATCATTACTGTCTTACAAATGTTTTGATAATCAAATTGTGTTAGTTTCACTCAATGCTTACAGGTTGAAAAGAACTACTCATTTTTATTTTACATAAACAGTAAGTAATGATTTTTATTCCTCATTCAAAGAAGAAATCACCTGAATATGCATTTCTTGATTTTCTGTCTGAAATGAGCCAAGTCGTAAGTATGTGAAAGTTGAAGCTTCGGTCAACTAAATGTTTACTGAAGAAGAAATGTCATGTTTAACTATTTGAGAAGATAATCAGAATAGAGACTCCACGAAGTCTGCTTTTTGCAATAATCTCTCTGTCAGTTGTTAAACAAATTTCATTCTCTGACCTCGACTTTTGATAAACACCTTACGTCAAAACCACACCTCTTTCTGGTACATCCACGAATCAGAAAGCTCTAAATTGAACCGGAAGTCGACCCATTTAAAATGTGGCAACTTTCCAGTTCAAGTTAGTTCTGAACAGTTCTAGAGCGTTGGAGCGTTGGAGTTTCCAGAGAGTTATGAGTCTGAGAGTTTTAGACAATGAAGAGTTGCTGAGAGTTAAAGAATGAAAGGAGTTCAGAATTCTTGGATGCAGAACGCGTTCAAGATGATCCAGAGACGTCTTGGAATTATAATTTCTGTTTGAACGACCCACGCACGACTCTCCAAGGATTTTAGCAGTTCTCAACGGAGACGCTGAAAAGTCTGAAGGATTCTTACTGAGCTGATGAACTTCAACAAGGTAAAGTTCTTCTTCGACCAAGTGTACCGTGGACGAGCTGAGATCTGACGAAGCGTGCAATTTCTGGTCAAACAGATTAAATTCCCTCACATATTCCTCTGTAAGATAAATCTCCGTTTCATCTTAAACTCACCTCTCTCTCATAAATCAGTACAGATATTTTAGAAATATCTGAAGCAAAGTCCTCAAATCACCGCCGAGTGATTTGAAGTTCATTATTTGTGAAACTGTCTGTTATTATTTTCATATTTTGCCAAATTAATGTAAATGTTTGATGTTAAACTTTGATTCTGAAAATAAATGACTCCATTCATTTGATGGGTCAAAGGTAATAACGTCTCTCGTTACATTTCTGTTGAACTCAACACACGACATTACACAGTCAGAAAGATGAGGAACTCGTGAAAAGTATGCATAAATATATACCACATATATTTGTCATACAACTAGTGGCACGTACCCACGTGACTCACTACAAACTGGTGGCTCGCACGTCTCATGAATGACTGTTAATTCGTGTAAAGATTGATTTAAATGTTGGCATGTTGAAAAAGTAACAGTTTATCAGCTGTGAATGTTTAACGCAGCCGGAGCTGCGCGCTCGGAGCTGCGCCTTTCAAGCAAACGCTGCATGTTCTAAGCGTTGGGCTGGCAATGTTTTAAGAGCTGAAATTGTGTGTCATATGTCTTTTTAAAGCTGAAATTGTACGTCTGTTACGTGTAACTAAAAGCTGATGAGCTGTGGAAGACGTTATTCTGTTTAAAAGTACGAGGTTCTGCTAAGACCCGGCTGTGGGTTCGGTTCTGTTCAGTTTGAACGAGTATTTTGAATAGATGGATAAACGTTTTAAAAGCTGAGCGCCGCCTCAGGACACAGTTAGGAGTTGTTTCGTTACAATTTTTAACAGAAAAAGTGCATTTTGATGGTTTAAAAGACGAAAAAGTGACGAACTATTTCACGCTAATCTAACTTGCTAGTTGGAGAAAACGCTTCGTGATTGGTTGAATTCGCTGTTGTGGAGCGCTCTGATTGGTTGAGAAGGCTGACTGGCGTGGCTACGTCACTTCCTCTCACCCTGCGCTGCTTTGCCATTGGTGATTTCAGTCACGTGACCCGGAAATGAAATTCGTTTTCATAGGGAAATAAAATCTGCTTTTTAAAGCTGAAAAACGCCTCTAAAGTGATTGTTGACACACTGGTTAAATGCTTCGAAGCTATTTGCTGAAATTTTGCTACGTTAGAGTTTAAAATTCGTCAAAAAACGATGTTTTTAAACAACGCTAGCGATGCTAATTTTAAGCTAAACAGCTAACGACCGGAGTTTTAACTACGCTTAAAATCACTAAATGAAGCTGCTATATAGTTCCAAAAACTCATGTTCAGGCTAAGAAGTCGTGTTTGTTGAAATTTTGCCACTTTTGTGTAAAAAATCCGTTCAGAAATGTTGATTTTAACCGAGTTTAGCCGAAGCTAACTTCAAGCTAAGCAGCTAACAACAGGATGTCAACCGAACGCCACAGGAAGTTATAGCACCCCTAGTGGACAACACAAACAGTGACGGAGTTATAATTGTTGAGGTAATACTGACATCTCCTGGCGAGACGTGAGATCACAGGTTTCACTTCGTTTTTAGGTAAAGAGTGAAATTAAACGTTTTTTTTTATTTTTCTGTAAGGCAATTTTGAGTTAACAAACTTCCTCAAAGCTGAATAAAACACTGTTATCTTACATTTTAAAAAGTAATAGGTATTTATGCAAAGAAGCATTTACCAAAAAAATTTTATTCACTGATAAATCCTTGAGAAACAGGTTCATAATAAAATTAGAAACTTTTTAAAAAAACAGATACAGTTACAAATATTCACAGAGTTGAATAGTTTACTCATTTTGCTTGAAGGATAATACACGTTTAATTGCAAAATCACTAAATAAGAGTAAATTTATGAGGAAAAAGAGATTTTTCTGTTTAAATTGCCACCTAAACAAAAATCTTTCTATTTAATTTTAAATAGAAGCTTTACAGGAGGACAGGAGTAAATACAGTTTTTCTGAAGAAAGACTGATTATTCCTCATCATCAATTTCTTTTCTCTTTTCACCCACCTGGGTTGATGAGTAACTGTTTAAAATAGCAAATTTCTGGAACAGAACGGTTTAAAAAACGTTTTAAACTAATATTGCTGTGAGACTAAAGAAAAATTTGCAGGTTTATAAAA